TCTCTCTCTCTCTCTATATATATATATATATATATATATATATATCTGACAAATAAATCTTTAAAAAAATATTTAACAACCAGTAGGACATGAGCACTGGCCTATTAGATTCCCCACCAATGAGAACAAATGCTGTACCTGCACATACCCCCTAAGTTGCTGACTATTTTTATTTTACAAATGAGGAAAACTGAAGCATACAGAGGTCAGGTATCTTGCCCAAGCCACACTGCTTGTCAGGGGCAAAGTGGGACTTCAGCCCTGGTAGTCCAACTCAACATTAAGTGTTTTTAACCAACTTCTAAGTCACAAATTACTTACCAGTTCACATTATAGATGTTGAGATTCTCTGCGAAAAGGTGAGACACAGAGACCCACCTGAGTTTGACTCTAAAGTAACAAGACTTACTTCCAAATGGACTCAGTCTTACCACTTAATAGTTGCCCTCCATCAACACAGAGGTTATTGATCATTTTCTTTGCAACATGTGCATGATGTAGCAATAACTAGAATGTTTTCCTCCATATTATGCAGGTAACAACAGGGAGTGTTCCAGTAAGCATGGCATCTGTAATCATCCACATCCCTCAATACACCAAAGAAAAGAATCCACTGATGTACCTGACTGAGGTGCACACAGATCAGGTAAGGGCAACTGAATTGCCTATAAAAGTGTGTACTTTCATTATGGAAATACCCCCATGAGGTTAGGGTGATCATGTCTTGATATCGTACAGACGGAAAACTGAGAAGATAAATGCTATGCATCCTGAGTGCCAATTAACTAGCAGTCAGTTTCATATTAGAAGCAGGTTATTATATGGAAACAATTACAGATGGCAGAAATTATTGCTAAAGCTCGGTTTTGGCCAGGTGAAGATCTGACTTTGTCAGCGTCCTGCTTATGGAGACATTAGTTGACTGCCACTGTGGGAGACTAATTGGTCTACACAGCCGCAATTAGTAGCTGGTCTTTAAGATGCCTGCCTGGACTTTGACCTGGTAGTGACCAACCCTGGCTCCTTGATTTTATCAGCTGGGTTTCCTGCCCAGGCTCAGGCCCACCCCCAGTCAATTAAATCAGAATGTTGTTAATAAAAGCATTTTGACTTTCAAAAAAAAAAAAAAAAAAAAGAATCTTCAGGGCAAAGGCTCTAGTACCAAAGATTCCTTAGAAGCCCCCACCCCCAGGTAGTTCTAATATGCAGCCCGGGTGGAGAAGCACTGTCGAGCCAAACCCCTTGACATGGGCTCAGCCTTCATCTGGCACTTAGAGCTGGCTCTCCGGTAGTGTTACTCCTGTGGTGTGCACAGGTGACGTCAGGAAATCAGTCTTAAAATGGTCCACAGAGAGCCCTGAATTCTGTCAGTCACAGTCTATTATTATTGCAAATGGTCTTGTTACGTATCAGGCTGTAAGAAAACCGGTACCACCCACACACCCCCAGTCGCATCAGGAGAATCTGAATACTTCCAGGTTTACGTGAATGGCTACAGGAAGCATGGCAGGGTCAGGGAGGTGAAAGAAGCCTAAAATCCCTCCCCCACCCCGACATGTGACCTCAGGACTTCCTAACATGTTAAAAGGAACATCAGAAATAATTTTGCTTCCTGAGACTGATTGGATGTCCTTCCTTACAGGCTGGTGACATCAGCTGTAATGCCGAAATAAATCCACTGAAAATAGGACACATGTCTCCTTCTGTGTCTTTCAAGAATGAAAATTTCCGGCACATAAAAGAATTGGTGAGGACAGGTTAATGGGATAACTATTTCTTTGGGTGATTCACTGTTTTACCTGGAAATCAAAGCACTTCTTTTCTATCACCCCATATTACAGAATTTTCTTGTTTTGGCTTTGATGGCCTGTATGAATCAAGATTTAGAAACTACACTCTCAAATCTAGGTTATTGGGATTATTACTTATGCCGGTAATATAAAATCCATGTATCAGATTTCATGAAATCAAAAGGATTCCACGTGAAACTACTGTGTTGTATCAGGCACTTTGTAAGCATTGTGAAGAGCTGTGAGGGATCTGCGCATGCACTTTGAAGGTGAAGCTCCTTACATCCCCCTTCCACATCATCACTGAGGTCTTATTTAGCTGCTAAAATGCCTCTCTGGCCACCCTTCTCGGTTTTCCAATATTTTATTATCTCCTGCTCCAGAGTGATGTGCCTTTCCTTGAGAAAGAGGCTAGTCTAGCATCTGGTATGATACTTGGCACACATTAAGAACTCAAATAGTAAACATTTAGCAAACAGTAACCCTAAACAGACCGTAGTTCTCCTCTAAGAACAACACTGAAATTCTGGTTTTCATTTATTGAAATTGTTTTATTTTGTGACGGGTAGGGATGGGGGTACAGGAAAATAGAATGAAACAGTTTCTCTTTTATAGTGTAATTACAGTGTAAATATGGCTTAAATCGAAACAGTAGTACGTAAAAATGCCCAGGAGAAACTCATGTCAGGGTATGCCAAAATATACCTCTGAGCATTGTCCTTATTTTTGTGAAAATGTTTTGATTTTGTAAAAATGGCAACTGCTCACTATGAACAACATAAAACACAAAGAAATTAAAGTCCTCTAGAAGTCAAATTGCCAACCACTCAGTATTTAATGAACATCCATCTCTATAACTTTAAGTATTAATCCACATCTAGATAAATGTATCCTGTTACATAAATGGACCATGCTACCTTTCTTTTTTTTAAATTTTTTATTGTTATGTTAATCACCATACATCACATCAGTTTTTGATGTAGTGTTCCATGATTCATTGTTTGCGTATAACACCCAGTGCTCCATGCAGTACATGCCCTCTTTAATACCAATCACCAGGCTAACCCAACCCCCCACTCCCTCCCCTCTAGAACCCTCAGTTTGTTTCCCGGAGTCCATAGTCTCTCCTGGTTTGTCTCCCCCTCCGATTTCCCCCCCTTCATTCTTCCCCTCCTGCTGTTTTTTTATACCTTTCTTTTAATAGGTTAATATATCATTGACTTTTTTTTAAATAGACTTCATTTTTTAGAGCAGTTTTAGCTTCACAGCAAAACTGAGCGGAAGGTATAGAAATTTCCCAACTGCCTTTTGTGCCCCCACATGGGAGACAGCCTCCCCCCACTCTCAAAATCCCCTTCCACATCAGACTGGTACAGCTGACGAACCTCACTGACACATCAGAATCACCCCAAGTCCACAGCTTACATTAGCATTCACTCTTAGATGTCGGACATTCTATGGATTTTCACAAATGTATAATGACCTGTATCCACAATTAGAGTATCATACAGAATCATTCCACTGCCTTAAAACTCTTCTGTTCATCCTTCTCTCCTCCCTAACCCTTGGCAGCCATAATTCTTTTACTGTCAACTTTTTTTTCATATACAGAATGCATCTTTACCAATTGTTTAATGACTAAATTGCACTGCATTTTGTGCATGTATATCCAATAATCTACCTAACTAGTACATAATGGATAAACACAAATTATTTCGTTTGGGGGGTGTTTTTAGTCTCAGAAATAGTAATGCAACAAACAGGTTTGATGTACTCTTCTCCGCACCACATTTCTGATTATCATCCATACAGATGGGAAATGGCTGGGCCAAAGGGCGTGCATTTTCTACCTTTCGAGCCTAGTGCCACAACCTCCTAAGAAGAGTTAGAAGGTTCAGGAGACGGCCTGTTTTCCTAGATCCTTCCCAGCACTGGGTTTTATCTATCTTTGTAAAATTTTAGCATTTACTTTTTTAAGCCCATACTCTTTCCTTTTACCATTGACTCCAACCTGAAAGAACTGCAGAGCTGCTTCATGTGGTAATGTTACCTGCTGGATGAAAGACCTTCAGGTCAAAGGAGAGTACTTCCTTAATGTATCAACCAGAATTTGGAACGGGACTTTTGCAGCAGTAAGTACAAGCTTTATTTGTTGGGCTTATCAATAGCAAGGATGCATAATGTTTCATTGTCAATAAATTCATACCCTTCAATAAAAGTAGCATCTGACTAATATCAGCAATGCCCAGATGACTCATAGCAATTTTACCCTGGAAGGCAATAGGCTTCTGATCCCTTTCCAAAGCTTGCCCAACCTGGTTATGCCTCAGAATCACCTGGGGTGCTTGTAAATCATCAGCTTCATAGATTCCATGCCACCCTCCTACATTAGACTCTCTGGGATGTCAAGATCCTCTGTGCTGTCCTGGGCACAATGGGCCACCTGGTTTGTCTTCGTCCTCGTGCCCTTGATTTTTCTGCCTTCCTAGTCACTTTAACATGCCCAATCAAAGTGCACATGTTTCTGTCTCCTTCCTTGAGCTCCCAGCTAATTGACTGATCTCAGCCCACCAGGTAGACTAGACGAATCCTGCCATGGAGCCACTCTGTTCTCGTTTTACCCTCTCTCTGGTGAAAGCCCAGTATACATATACCATTTTTTTTTAAAGTCCTTCCCAGCTCATGAAAAGTTTGAAGAATATGTCAAAACAATGTCAGTGATTTTTCCATTTGGCAGGTGTGACTCTGCCATAATCATATCTGCTTTTAGCTGAGATTTCGGTAGCCAGAATCTCAGTCTGGCATGAAAAATAGGATAGACAGGGCTCCTTAAAGCTAACTACGTAAGTAGCTAGCTATTCATTTTATCGACACTGGCTCTGATTGAGGCAGCAAAATAAAAATTAGTCTGAAACCTCCAGGGGTCCTCATGGCTCTTGTGTTTTTTGTTTTTTGTTTTTATAAACGAATAATGACTCGTCAAGGTGCTTACCAACCACAGTCCATTCCCTATTTTCTAACCATTTCATGATCTCTCCAACAACCCCATTTTCCCTGCTATGGAGTTTTAAGATTAGAGGACTAAGTTCCCTCCGAACTTATCCCTGGAACCAAAATATGAGCAATATTCTTGGATAAAGACATAATAAAAAGAGGAACAGTGAGAGGGAGGGGAACAGAGAAGTGGGAGAGTGTAGGAGTGAGGAACTGGGTTTTCCTCCTGCTTGCTTTTATTTTGTTGTTGGTTACATTTGCTTTCAAGCCTTTCAGACCCCTCTAAATCCTAGAAGATGGGAAGCATGCGGTGAATTAGACCACTGTCCCAGCTGATACAGTTTGGTGCCAGATTTCACCAATTGGTTCTTGTCTAAGCCTTGGATTTGAGGAACAAATGTTTTCCTTAGCAACCTTGCCAGCTGGGAAGGAAAACTGTTGCAAATCAAAATGCAATCATGCTGGCTCTGTAAAAAGCCATTTGGGTTTTCTTGAGTTTCTTTAAAACTACATTATTTTAACTGTAAGACTTTTAAAAGTACCTTCCCAAACGTTGTTAGGAGCAGCAGTCTCATTTCTGGGAGCAAATTTCTGAAGAAGTATATTTATGCTTTTTCAGTGGTTATGGATGAGCTGAAAAACCCCATGAGAGTGTCTGTCGAGTCCCACACATCTTCCTCCTCCATGAAAAGGTCAAATGTTTATTCCTACCTTGTTTTCAGCTATTTCAACAGTCAAATGGATGTTCTCTGGCCACCTAGGAGATCCAGTCTGAAATACAAATCTCATTTCCTGTAGTAGAGTCCATTAGCATACTGCCTTTCACCCTTTTTCTGATGCACTGCAAGTAAACATTTCCCTAATTTCGTTACAAAGTGATTGCTCAGGCCTCTGCATCAGTGGCATGGTTGGCTGCGGTTTGTAAGGCAGAGCCTTGTGAGTGCTAGCAGGTGTCTTACTTCACTCTCCCAGGTTCGTGTGGTGTAACTACCCCAGTTAACAGGATATCGTGTGCACGGCTATGCAAAGGGGCAGGCTTGGGAGGGCAGATCATTGTTGTGAAGAAATTCTTTTTAGTCTACAGGGACTCTGAAACCAGCATCATTTAAATGCTATTTTTCTTTTTAAAAGAGACCATTATCAATACTGTGAATGTTTCCCCAATAATGTGTGCTTAAGACATGAGGGATCAGGCTTCACTTCTGATGCAATCTTCCATCTTGAGAAAATTAAAACTAATCATACTAAGCCGGGGGAAAGGAAATAAATTGCTCACTTTTTGGATATGCATTCTTTTTCTGGCTCCCAGATATAATTTAGCAAATCACCTCATGAAGTATGTTGAAATATGTGCCTTGGTAACCAGAAAAACTGAATCCTAGTAGCCAGAGCATAGGAAGGCAGTTCTAAATCTGGGCATTGTATGCTATTTCAAAGTAAGCATCAGTCCCAACATTTGCATTAGAGAAAAAACAAAATACACATCAATAATGTATCCATTGAAAAATCATTTTTCTCTAAGTAGGTCCAGGAATACGTGTAAAGTTATTTCATATTACATGGTTACTAGTAACAGCATAAAATGTGTCCTTCCTATATGCCTGTCCCAAATCCAGTATTTTATACAAACACTTAGAAACCTGAAATTATTACTCATTATGTAGCTTGACAAAAGGTTCAGGGTGTCTGCTGCTGACATGCATGATCAAGTTTAAGTGTACTTTTACTGTTTTTATTCTGATTTTCCATTCCATTATTTGACTTATTCAGGTAAATATATAAACTCAAGCTTGCAATTTTCCCTCATGATGAAAACTTCATAAAGTTTTTAAAAATCTGAACCATGATTTTCCCAATTAAAAACTGCTGATGCCTGAACTTCACCCCCACTCCCAAGATTTGGTTTAATTTGCTATTATGGCCCAGGTATCCACATGTTTTCAGTTCCCCAGCTGCTTCCCATGTGCGGTCCTACACATATCACCGATTTAGGAACATAAAGATTCTTGGGGCTTCATAGGAGCCCTTTGCTCTTGACATTTTCCACAAGGAAATAAATAATAAACATGCCAAAGTTGTGTGTGTGAACTTCTGCTAGGATAAAACCTATTCTTTATTCTTATGTTCCAGTCAACTTTCCAGACCGTACAGCTGAGCGCATCTGCAGAAATTGACACCTATAACCCTCAGATATATGTGATTGAAGAAAACACAGTCACGGTGAGCACATCCTGTCACCCCAGCGGGCACTAGTCTCTGATAGGCCTTCCTTTCTGAAAACTTAATAGTGGCTCTTCTCACCTACACGTCTGTACAAGTTTCTTAGTGAAACTCTAAAAACCTAAGTTTATTACGTTAGGCTTATTGGCAAAGTTGTTTGCTACTTTACTCTAAAATGTTCAGTGATATGCTCGCCCTCCACACTCCCCGACGGCCCCCATCCCGTGTTGGCGAAGCTGCATCAGAAGGGACAGTCCACTGCGAGGCACAACAAAAGGGGCTCCTGCTGTTTGTGGCTCCTTAATCCAGGCCTCAAGCAGCTCTTCCTTTCTCTTCTTGCTTTCACAGCACAGTCTACATCTTAGGCTATGACATTCAAGTCAGGCTTATTTGAATCACATATTTTATTTTATTGTTTAAAGAGAAGTGCTTAAGTAGCCTTAAGGCATTTATTAGAGGGTTGGGGGGGTTTGTTTTTGTTTTTTAGTATTCCTTATAGCTAGATACCGGCACTGTGTGAAGTGTCCATTCATGAGTTCTTATACTCTAGAAAACTATGAATGTTCCCCTTGACTTAAAAAAAAAAAATCTTACGAAGAAATGTACTTTCAGAGGAAACAAAGGCTCACTGTTCCAAGGGCTGGCACAGGACAACTTTCCTTTGCAGTGAACCTCTGGTTGGAATAGGCCATATTTAGATATAGTGGGACTTCCAAGCTCAGCTAATTTGCTGGCTGAGCATTTTCCTCCCAATGCTTTTGTTAACAAATGGAAGCCCCAGTTTAAGACTCTGCCCCAAAACCAGCCTGGCAGCTGGCCTCAGTCCACTGTTGTAGCCATTAAAAAGCCAACGGCCCTGTGAACTCTGGACCTCTCTCAATCCTTGAGAGTAGGGCTCACAGCACTGGTGGCCCACTCTGGTCCCAGGAGAAAGGATTCCAAGAAAGGATGCTGTTCGGCCCTGGGCTTACGACCCTCAGCAAAGGCCCACACCCTCTCTTCAGAGGCTGGGATGTGGAAAATCAGAAATGGAGCCAAAGGAAATGTGGACTTCAAATTCAAAGTATTATGAACTTAGAAGTACTATAGATATTTTGAAAGTTCATTTTTTAAAAAATGTAGTGTTCAGACCCTCTGAACATCTGCCGAGGTCTTTATTTTTTTCAGAAAGCACTATTTCAATTTTCAATACATTTATCTAACAATTTTAATGAACGCTTTAGATTTTTTCTTGATTTTCTCTTGTCAATACTGATAAATAACAAAGGCCAACTATTCCTTGTCCATGAAAATACATTTTTAATCCAAATAATCTGGATAATTTTTTGAATAATATTTGGAATCCAGATAATTAACTGGCATATCCCTTTAGGTAGATGAGCGATTCTTAAATTTATTTGAATCCCAGTCCATTTAAAAATCTGATATAAAAATTTTTATACTCATGGATCCCTTTGGCTCCATGGACCCCAAACTGGGAAATTCTGGAATGAAGAGTAAAGGTATGACTGCCATTAAGTCAGTTACTTCATTCCTAAATTGTAAAACCTTATTTTAGCTCTTGAAAATATAAATGAAAAGAAATATAATTACCAAAAGGCAAGATAAAGTTCAGCCCAACTCAGAAATTCTGTGATGGCTCATCTGCCACTGTAATGTAATGTTAAATCAATCAATAAATTGGGTTTTGTCGACTTGTTTTCCCCCAAAATGCAGCTCTTAATATTCTTAATATACTTGGTGGAGGAAATGGCAGTGATTCTTTCTGCAATTAAAAAAAATACATAAAAATATATATACACACACATATATGTATGTATGATACCATTTTATCATTAGAACTCTTAGGGCAGCCATTCTATTACAAAGTCACAAAGATTCCCAGGAAGTAGACCTAAGGAATCACAAATAGCCTAAAGGACAGTTTATCACTGAAAAGGTCAACCTGAGCCCTGAGCCGTTACTTCCACTTTTTAACAATCTACATCAAATAACTTGAGTGAGTTAAGTGAAAGCAATATCTAGGATCCTAGTACAAAGCTGCTGTTGCTTAATCACAAGGGATCTGGGGTTGTTAATTTGTTTGGTTTTCGACTCCCCTCTCCAAGTCTGGACTCCAAATGCTGTCACTTGACGATGAGACGACGCCAGAAACCAAAGTTCCTATTTTATAAATAAAGCATCTGAGGTTGTCCAAGGTGACGTATCTACTAAATACAGACACAATTAAAAAGAGAGGAAACTGGAAAACTTGTATTCCTTGCCTGTACTTTGCAGGAGCATTTTCTCTAGAAATTATACTGCACAACCCTTAGCTGAGGAATGAGATCATGAGTGAGTCACATCACCTTTCTGGACCACCATTTATAAAATCAGAGAATTTGATGAGACCATCTCACTTTCTCTGGGTGCTACAATTAACTCAATTGTTGCATATGTACATTTACAGATTCCCATCACAATAATGAAACCTCATGAGAAAGCTGAAGTTCCAACTGGAGTTATAGTAGGAAGTGTAATTGCTGGAATCCTTTTGCTATTAGCTCTGGTTGCAGTTTTATGGAAGGTAAGAAAATTTTTCATATTTAAAAACATGGGGCTCCTAAAGACATCTGTCTTGAATTTCCTTATCAAACGGTAGCCTTAAGTTTTATATAGTACCTTCTCCATCGTAAGAGAAAAGGAAATGCAAAATTTGTAAATTCTCACTTATGTCCTTGAAAACAATCAGTAAGGATTTTAGATCCTTGGTCTTGGTCCCTGTATTTTTTTTCAGCCTGCCTTACATCCAGACCCCTGAATGTTTTGTTCATCTGCAAATAAGCAGACCATGGAAAATTTAACTTGATGCAATTGAGAATTCAGTTCAACTCCCTGGGTACTATTTCCTTAATGAAAAGCTGACACCAGGTCACAGTGTGCACACCACCCCCCTCCAGAGCCCCGAGAGTCCCAGAGGTGCTCTAGTGGGCGGCCAGGGCGGGGGCAAAGACGCCATGACAAAATAGCCCATGGGTAGTAAACTGTTTACACCCGCATCTTACAGCTCGGCTTCTTCAAAAGAAAATATGAAAAAATGTCCAAAAATGCAGATGAGATTGACGAGACCACAGAACTCAGCAGCTGAGCCCCCAACAGTCTCCTGGCAGCATGCAGCCTGGGTTTGCAATTTGCATGAATGGATTTTTTTTTTTTTTTAAATCCCAGTGTTTTACGTGTAATAGGTAAACTAGCCTGATATTTTACAAAAACTGCAGGTCAGTTTGGAAAGAAGAAATGGGGGGGGTGGCTAGGACTATAAAGGGTAAAAGACTTATTTTATATGGGGGGAAAAGTATCTTTCCATTGGCTGGTCCAGAGTTTACATTATAATGTGCATTGTTTCAGAAAACTGAAATGCTTACAAACATGAGAAGTCTTAAAGAAAAATATAACCTTTCTCCAATTGGGGGGGGAACCCCAATCATTGAAAATGATTGTTTTTAAACAGTAACAACAAAAGTGGAAGGACTTGGCATAGATACAGAATTAGCTTGGCTATTGATGTTGATGGGGAGAAAACAACAGGTTTTCAACTTATGCTGCTCATCCAAAGCTGCCACAGAAGTTCAAGTGATAATTTTCTTAATAAAGTAGGGTAAAATTTGCTGTTGTCAGCCTGCAGCTGCCTTCTCAGTCCCTTGTTTGCTAGGATGTACTTATCAAAACATGCCTGGATACCTGGTAGGAGCCCAGAGTATGCTTTCTGGAGAAAAAACTTCCATTTAAGGGTGGATAGGGGGTAGCAGTTTAGAGGCCAAAGCACAAAACTTTGTTTAAAATCCATTAATATCACAATGTTTATGGTAAAATCCTATCTGCTAGAGGCCCAGCCTATGCTATAGGAAGTAGGAAGTTGCCTTTCTCCTTCAGGATGCCCAACTTACTAACTTGACTGGCTGGCAGGGACCTAGTTTGAATTTTCAGAAGATGAGTAATTTCTTCGGCATCCTTTCTCCTTCCGGACTAAGCCACTCTCCCACCTCCTGGTGCCCCCATCTTCTAGAAGCTCCCTGAGGCACGCCTTCCTATCCAGTCATCCAGAGTTAACCACCTTCCCTTGGCCCTTGGCCCAGTCTCCCATTCCTTGGGGGCAGCTGCTCCACACCAGGTATGAGGAAGAAAAATCATCTCACATACTTATGTGAATAATCTCCTTAACTCCAGGGAGCTATTTATTGGTAAACAAGTAAGAAAAATAAGCCAGAGTGAATTTCTAATTGTTGGAATTTCAGGCAGTGTAAAGAAGCAAAAAAAGAAAAAAGAAAAAAACAACACGGGAATTTGCAAGAAACTACAAGGAGATATTGGAAAGCACCAAATTGGCAGTTATACCCTCTGTGTTTTTGTGTTGCTGGAGGACTTAAACTTCCAGAAGAATGACTGCCACCTGGGCAAGTCTGATCCCTAGGTAGCCTTTTGGTCCCAACTCCTGAGACATTTATTTGGTCAGACAGGGATGAAACCCATTAGTCTGTTTTTTAACAAGCATCCCAGTCACTGATGTACATGAACTGTCCTGGGGATATACCACCCATTTCTCCTTCCGCACTTTGTTTCTGAGCCCACACATTCTCCAGGAGGGACTGGGAGAAAGGCAGAGGGACTATTTCATGTCAGAAACTGCATACCTAAAGCTTTGGACAAGTCACTTTGCTTCTTTACACTGCAGTGTCCACATAAGAAAATGGGAAGACTGGGTTGGAGTTCAGCAGCAGTGCTTTTAGCTTTAAAAGTCTATGATCTGGATTTCTTGTAATTACAATCCTCCAAAAACCTGACTTTGAAAACGGGCATATGCCCGTGCGCACCTGGTCCCGACTGCCCTCCTGGTCCAACTCCTGTGAGCTCTCTCAAGCTATCTACACTCATTTATTTTGTATTTGACAAAGCAAAACTGGGGCGGGGGGGGATTAGCCATAAAATGTCAGGGGTTTATAGCAAAACCATGGTATTCTCTAGATGTGCTAGAGCCCAACTCTTAGAACAGCGGTGTGGACTCTGAGTCCAAAACTTCTTTGAGAGTAGAGGAAAAACATCACTAAGTTGATAAAGAGTATTTAATAAACCATCTAACTACTGTACACATATACATACTAGTTCTTCAGGGTGCTACACAAGGAATTCTAGCAGGTCATTCCTTTCTTTTTACTCTGCCCCACCTTTCTTACAGAAGCACTAAAACCCACGGTGAGCTTGAGAGCTTTGGCCAAGCCGTGGCTTAGGTAATCTACCTTGCCAGCATTGTCTCCATGAAGTAGCTGGGTTACTACAAACTAAAAACTTAGCCACTTGTCTCTGTACCATTTACTACCCTAGGCACTACTGACGTGAGGGGCCAGGTAATGCATTCTTGCAGGGGACTGTCCTGTGCCTTGTAGGATGTTTAGCATCCCTGGCATGGAGCATCCTCTGCCCCAAGATGTGACAATCAAAAAAATATCTCCCGACATTGTATCACGCCTCCTGGGAGGCAAAATCACCCCAGTGGAGAACCCTACTACACTAAGAGCAAGTGGCCTAAATATAAATACGCAACTTCTGTCATCAGATCAAAATTTGAGGCAGGGGCTCTAGTGAGTATTTCTCAAGCACTTTTAAGCAAAGGTGAGGATTTATCCAAGAAATTAAAACAAAACCCACTGCTTGAAATAAACAGTTATGTATTCCTATTCAGCCACACTTTTGTTTTAAAAGTAAGTATAATATGGGGCTTAAAAGATACCATCTTAAAGTTTCCATTTCATAAATGGTATATAGACAAGATCTGTAGAACGTGATTAAAAACAGTTGCTTCGTACATGGCTGCCACATAAGCCATTTAGAAAATAGTAAAATAGTTTGTGAGGAAGCTGCCTTAAGACTTGAAATGGTGCATCATTCATTTTGGCAGCAAAAGAACTCCCAACTAGAAAGAAATTTTTTCTAGCTGGCAGTGTTCTTTTTATAAAATAGAAGTTATCTATTAACTGTGAAATGAAAACTAAAACCAATTTATCATAATCACACAAGTGATTATACTAAAAGCTATTATAAAAGGTATAATTTTATAATGTATTTATCTATTCTGATATACAACTGTAAGTTAATATATTAAAAATCTCAAGACATTAAACAGAAAGCAGGATCCCTCAAACTGAGCACCCTGGGCCATCTTTGCTATTTCAGTTTGCACACAGAAAATACCCGCACCCACGCCTTTTCGCGATTATGCCCCTCCTGTACATTAAGCATACCCATTATAAACAATTTGAAAGGCTAAACATCTAAAGGTAAAAGATACACGAGGGTAAAATTTGAAATAAAAATGTTAACTACGTCTTTGAACCTTAATGAAAATGTAGCCATATGTAAATACAAAAAGATGGTTTCATCTGTACTGGATTTTGGCAGATAAAGTCAAAATAAAAATGTATATATTGCACAACTATGTTAGAATTGTATATTTTTTAAAGAGAAACGGTCTTGGATATTTTCCTTCATGTAAAGTATAAATCTTTAAGATGTAATTAACTGGTTTTTGCCTTTTTTCTCTCCACAAAAAATATAAAAATGTATGCATGTTCATCTAATTGTACAATTCATTTCTGAGAAACAAATCGAATTGGAAAAGTAATCAACATTCATATGAAAAAAACTCAACTATGAAAATCAAGCAAAAGTGTTACTTAACTGTAAACACTCTTTATACCACATTATTGAATTATAATTAAAATAGCTTTGAAAATAAAGTTATATTACTTTGGACTTTTAATTTTATGGCTTGTATATTCATTTCACTGTATTTATCTTACACACTCCAATGGAGTCTTGAACATGTTCTGAAACAAAGTAAGAATTGGAAGGATGTATCTAATCTCTTAAATTACTAGCAGTGACCACAGGATGTTCTGTAAGAACCTTAAACTACCTTCATGGTTTAAGGACTAGGTGTAAAACCTTGCCTCGAAATATGTGTCCACAGATAGGCAACATTCCATCACCTAGAGCCTATTACAAAATGCATATCTCAGGTGCCATCCGGAACTACTGAACACCAATGGGAAGTTTAACAAGATCCCCACATGATTCATATTACATCACATAGTAAAGTCTGAGAAGCACTGCTCTAAAGCACAACTTCTCACTTGAAATAAAATGTGTGCTTGGAATAGAGAGGAAAAAACGTTGGCCAACTGTTGCAACTTGCCAAAGCAGTCATCTGAAGTTTTTTGTTTGGTTGGTTGGTTTTTTGTTTTAGCAGTAAGCAGGAGAGTTTAAATATTTTAAGAATTAAATATGCTGAAGTTATTGTTAGGAAAGGTACAGAGCAAGCTTACCGACTGGCCTTCACTGTACAGATGGCACATTAATGCAAAGGTTGGGTAGCACATGCTTCCATCTACATCGATGCACAAACGTCTCCCATTCCCAGATCAGGTGACCTCTCAAACGCCTTCCTCAACCTTGCCCATCTCAGTCCTGGTGAACCAAGCTGTCAGGGTGGCTTACCACGGAACTACCACCAGTGAGTGTGTCTGGTATGCATTGTACATGAAAATACAACTATGAAGAAAAAGAACATTAGTTTTGTCACAAATCTATATATTAAGGCTACCACTTTATCCCAAATTGGAAAATTTTATATTTACTCATTTTTAAAATTCCTCTTATTCTACATCACTTTTTAAAACTATAAACAGCATTTTTAAAAATTCCATCCTCATCCTATCATAACCCCTCAATATTTTAAATTAGGGTACCAATGAAGCCCTGGAAATAATCTTCCTCAAAGCCAGACACTACTTTTCATCTAAGAACCACTCCAACCCTAACTTAAAGAAAAAGGCTAACTAAACTGAAATTTTGGTTCTATGCAAAAGAAAAGGAGCATCGGACTCAAGCTGCTCCTATTGCTGGCTCTGCTGCCCTCTGCCGGGTCAGCTACTAACTACATCCCAGATTACTCCCACCTCAAGAGACCTCTTACAACCTCCGCGCTCCGCAGACGTCACAGTCCGGGAGTGGGGGAGGAGCAGAGCGGAAACCCACCCACTCACGCATTCAGCCAGATACCTTCACACAACAGCTACACATGTGCCAGGTGTGTTTAATCTGGGGCACAATACTTTGCACCAACAGCACTTTCCAGTGCCTGGTAGTGGTGGGGACATATGACAGAAACCCCCTTACCTGAGAAAGTCTAGAGTCTAGTGATGGAGGAGAAAACTAACAGATATGGTCCATCAGGTAGCATTAAGGGCCACAACAAGATAGAAAGCAGAGTAAGGGACCAGGACTCCAGTTTGAAATAGGATAGCCAGAGAAGGCTCTGTGAGGAGATAACACGTAACCGGGGATTGATATCAGGTGAGGAAGCAGACTGTGGGAATACCTGGAGGAAGAGCATTCTAGACAAAGGAACAAGTAAGGGCCCTACGACAAACTAAGCTTGTTGCAGACCAGCCACAGCAAAGCAGGGGCGCCTGGAGCAAGTGAGGAGCAGGCGGGAGCCCAATCACAGACTGTAAACCACGGAGAGGACAGTGGGTGTTCTGGGATTGGGACTGGCTCTCAGAAGGTTCCAAGGAGGATGCAGTGACTCAGTGGGAGGCAGAACGGCAGCAGGGGACTGTCAGCAGGCCACAGCAGCAGTCCAAGAGACATGGAATGCTGGCTTGGATGAGAGATGTGGCAGTGGAAAATGGAAAGACATCCAGGAATCCGTTTGCAAATTCTCCAATAGGTTCGCTCAGGGATTGGAGATCAAGACTCAAAGTACTGGCTTCTTGACCACTATTTCTCACAACAAACTGAAATATATTGTGACTCTAATATCATATTCAAAGGACAAAACCATCCATAAAATCACAAAGTACTTCATTCATTGACCATCTACTATTACCTTCAAAGAAAATAAAATCCTTTTCAATTTTAAAAGGATTCTCATTGGAAAACACTTAAAACATTAAGTAATCTGAACTTCCTACTTCATGGAAGAATATGTCTACCACCGACATCTTCCCTCACATTTCAATTACTCTCCCGCTGTTTCCCTAAAGCCTTTCCTCTATCTCTGGTTCATCCTGAACACCCACTTGATTTTTGTCTCCCTTTTGCAACATGTTACTGGTGTAAATAAGACTGTACTTCATTAAACCATCCTAACTTCTGGGAAAGAAAAATCAAATTATGGTTAAAGACAGAGGTTTACCAAATTTAATTTTAGTATTCTTAAAAAAATGTGTGACTTAATCACTGGCTGTCCAAAAGCATTCTTTGTTTCTTTTCCAAGATGATGATGATTCTTCATACATTTCCTGAAAAACAGAACCATAACAGGTATTCAAAACAGAGTGGCTTAAAAATTCAGCTACCTCTGAATAATTCAGGCAAATGAGTATCATATCTGTTTAAATCTGCTACTCTTCTAACAATCCAACAAACATTTGTATGAGGCACTAAGAGTAGAAAAATGAATAAACATGTTCCCTACACTTAAGGACCCCCAATCCAGTGGGAGAAACAATAGAGGAGAAGATCTAACAAGACAAGGTACAACCACAGAATGGAATAAACAATTCCATTCGGGAAAATGTCGGGAGACAGCCTGAGCAAGGTCATGCCAAAGATCAGTGGAAGATCATTAGTTGTAAACATTTTTTTTCTTTCCAAACACATCTACTACTTCAACATTTCTAAATATGTTTTTCCGTAGGCAGAAGGGGTATTTCCACTAGGTGTGAAATTAAGTGACCACCCACAGAAGTTCCTAAGTAGGTTTGGGCTGCACCCTACTGACAACTGTGTGTACTCCACCTACCTTCCTACCCCTTGCCTAGATCACCAATGATCTCAAAGCACAGGTGGGACTAGAACCCCACCAGAATTTAGATACTTCTTGGAAGGGAGGGGAACAAGAACGTATCACTCTTTCTTCTCACTCTCCCATCAGATTCTATTCCTGAGGGACAGAAATCCAAATTCGACTTTCCTCTGAACACCTGTATACCCTTCTCACCCTCGACACACAGAAAAGTAAATAGAAAGCTCAGCTAGTCCTCAAAGTATAAAAATGAGATGATCCCCAACTTCTACCCGCTCTCTTATTCTGGAGGTCTACCCTCTCATCTACTTCCTATCAGCTGGCTGTCCCTTCTTCCTCCCTGGTAAAGAAAACTACCTCTGCCACCCGGGCTCACAACTCAATGTACAAAGCCCTTCCTACCGCACTCTATTCAGGAAACGGCCTCATGTAGTCCATCAAAATTGTGGCAGCTTTGTTCATAGCAAAGCCACCATCTATCTGAGCTTCACTAAGCACCAGGACAGTTTTCTCTCACATATCGTATCTTCAAATCCCAAAGTATCCCCTTATAAGAACAGGTTTCACTTTTTATTCAGAAAATACGGTCACTGAATTTCACAGGCCCTGCGTCAGAGTTCCCACATTTGCTCATCTCCACAACTGACTGAGGTGGTAGCCTCCTAGGAAAGACTCACCCTCTGGTCCTCTGCTCTGGCCTTCTGATCTGAGCGGTAATTCATTCCTCAGCTTTGCTACCAGCCAAAATGCTGTGGGCAATTCTACACTCTTAAGTGCAATCAGAAGTTTGAGAATTCAGAATAATCCCACTGTCATTACTACACCAGGGAAGAAATTAGGGAGTTGGGTCTTTTCATCCCTTCAGAATGTCCTCTTTAACCAGAGATTTGCTCTTGATTGGTTTGATGTGTTGACAGAAAATGAACACTACATCAAAAACTAATGACATTTTAAAAATCCACTCACTATGCAATTTCTCCGGAGGCAATACCCCACCCTTTTCTTTTCCTAAAAAGAATCTAGAGTTCTTTGCTCTTTTGCCTTTAGAAATCTGTGTTAGCTATTGCCTAAGTAGCCATGAATTATTCCCACTCTCCAAAAGAAATTCAAGGGAATTCTAATCCAAAGAAAATGAATTCATACATGAACCAATGGACCAGTCCCGACTAGGAATTCCAGTTGTTACTATCTACCGAGGCCTAATCTGTGCCATGCATTCTTTGGGGCGTGTACTTCTGTTTAACAAACCCTGGAAAGGAAACATTACATAAACACCCTATTTCACAGATAAAGAAAACATGATTCTATACAGTTAGGAAAGACCTATGAATACAAGCTCTATATGTAATCTTATTCCTTATCTTTTAAAAATTTGTGAGAAACGGCATCAGGGAAATCCAAATCAAAACATCAATGAGATACCACCTTATGCCACTCAGAATGGCTAAAATTAACAAGTCAGGAAATGACAGATGTTGGCGAGGATGCAGAGAAAGGGGAACCCTCCTACACTGTTGGTGGGAATGCAAGCTGGTGCAGCCACTCTGGAAAACAGTATGGAGGTTCCTCAAAAACTTGAAAATAGAGACACCCTATGACCCAGCAATTGCACTACTGGGTATTTACCCCAAAGATACAAATGTAGTGATCCAAAGGGGTACGTGCACCCTAATGTTTATAGCAGCAATGTCTACAACAGCCAAACTATGGAAAGAGTCAAGATGTCCATCAACAAATGAATGGATAAAGAAGATGCGGTGTGTATATATATATACATATAATGGAATATTATGCAGCCATCCAAAAAAAAAAAACCGATAATCTTGTCATTTGCAATGAAATGGATGGAACTAGAGGATATTATGCTAAGCAAAATAAGTCAATCAGAGAAAGACAAGTATCATATGATCTCACTGATATGAGGAATTCTTAATCTCAGGAAACAAACTGAAGGTTGCTGGACTGGTGG